TTTTGAATCCAGGTTTGGTTGAGTTCTCAGATGCCATGGGGTGAGTTGGGTAAAGGGCCAATATTACCATGCCTTAATCCCATCCCCCCTGGAGCTGAAGGGGAGAACTCTTTATTATGTAAAGGGACTGGGTAGGCCTTCTTAATGGCCCATTGACAAAGTGGATGGGGGGGGGGCAGGAAGCTAGAGGGAGCTATTCTCTCTTTAAAACATGTTTCACATCCAAGGAAATGTAATATTCTGCCATTTCAATATTTCCTAGGATATTTTATTTTTTCTGCGAGAGGGCTGGGTAATAACTTTCCACAGTGATAAGTGTGAAAAATGGTCATTAAGTCACTTTTTTTCAGTGCTGTTGTAACTTTGAACGACCACTAAATGAATGATTGTAAGTCAAGGACTACCTGTAGAGACTTCTATGATTTAATTCAGGGTTCTATATAAAACAAGTGGGCCAAAAGGCTGCTTCTATGACAGACCTTTTTATAGGTAGTTTTAACAAAATGAGTGAGAGAGATGCAGGAATAAAATTGCTCACTTTTCCCCTCTTCTTTTCCCCCCCTTTCCTGTCCTTTGAAAGATAAAAGGGGCAAAAGAGAGAAATTGAACCCCCTCCCCCCAAAAAACCCACCCCACCACTGCCTGTATAATCCTTACCAAGCATTTATAGAAATGAAATTAGAAGAGAATTTAAAAGGGGGATTTAAGAGTAGAGAACGGGAGCTTCAGGGAACATTTCAATAGGCGACCCATAGTTTCATTTATTGCAACGAGAAATTAAGATGGGTGGGCAAAACCATTCACATTCATGCAGGTAAACCGGCTATTGCTCAGGACACCGAAGCCACAAAAGTGCTCCTTTCGGGGTGTGTGTGTGTGTGTGTGTGTGTGTGTGTGTGCGCGCGTGTTGGTTGATAGAAACTCCCCCCTCTTCCCCTCTGTTGGATCGCCAACCTGGACGGGAGCCCCACCCACTGCATTGCAAACGGGGGAAAGCGAAAGCGATCGCGGAGAGATTCGTTTTCAGCAGCGCTCCTCTAGAAAACGAAAGCGAAACTTAAAACAGCGGGCTGGAGTGGGAGTGGGAGGGAGAGGGAGGGTTGGGTTCGGAGAACCAGATAACTGCCGACCGAAATGGCTTGGCGTTGGGGGGTTCAACGAACCTCGCGACCTTTAACAAGCCACAGACCTGCAGCAGGTTGGACTAGATGACCTCCAAGGTCCCTTCCAACTCTGTTGCTGTTAAGTTGCATACCCCTGGACTTAAAGGGCCAAGGCGGTGAAAATCAGGCTTGGTCCGTGCAAAGAAGCCCATTTGGAAAAGGCCGGTTGGGTGTAAACTTCCCTGCCCGTTACCTACCTGGCAGGTAGCATCGCTCCAGTCCCTCGGGGAGCTTCCTCCCCAGCTGTCCCTGGGCGTTGTCTCCGCAAGAAGCCAGGCTCCCGTCGGCCAGGAGCAGCAGCGTGTGCCGCTCCCCGCAAGCCACCAGGGCCACTTCTTGNTTACCTTTGGTAAGTGCTATGGAGTGATAGTGTCCACAAGCAACTTGTATAACATTGTACATAGATAAAGAATCTATTTTCCTATAGAATTTACCGAACAAGAAGAGAAATAATTCATTAGTATTCCAGATACAAAACCACATCATCATATAAAGATTCTTGACATGGCAATTTTATCTACTTAAAATGAAATTGAGTATTACCATTTTTTAAAAATTTCTTTGTGAATTAATTAAATGAATAATAGGATAAGCATTACAAAAAAATTATCAAATGATATTTTAATTAATAGCAATTATTTCAAATCTCATTTATACAAGACATATGCTAATCAGAGAAAAAATAACTTGACATTAAACAGGATTTTTTGGAATAATCCATTAAATCATGTTTCTTTATTTGTAGGATAATTCTATTCTAGGATAATTTTGTGCCATATTTGACACTGGTTAGTTGGCTTGTAATTCCCATCATTGTTGGTAGGGTATAATGGGAGCTGCAAACCAAAATATTTGAGGATACCAGATTAGGGAAAGCTACATTAAAAAAAAAGAACAAATAATAATATAGAAACAGACTGATGAAGTACACTGTGCACTATGAAAGCTTATGCAAGAACAAATTGGTTTTCATTTAAAGTTGTTTATTTGTTTGCAAAGGATAATATGATGAGGAGCAATGGTAGCACAGTGGGTTAAACGCAGCATTGCAGACAAACTCTGCCCACAACCAGAAGTTCGATCCTGATCGGCTCAAGGTTGACTCAGCCTTCTATCTTTCCAAGGACAGTATAATATGTCTAAGTGCTACTGCAATATTGTTATTGCTAATTTGTGATGCTTCCTTAACTGTCTAAAGAAGCAGTGCCTATACCAGTAAGCCTCCCATTCCAGCTATGGGAGGGATGTAGACCTGTTGCAACAACCTTTCCAAGCTGTCTTAGCCAGCAAGAAAGGAAACACCCTGCTTCCATGAAAAGGAACATGGCAAAAGTCACAAATTCATCCCATAGCATCTCCTGCTTGGAAAGCTACTTGTCAGAAATGCAGGACAGATCACAATTAGAAGAAAGTCCCAAGTGTGCAGTGAGGATTCAAACCTGCGTTTTCCTGACTCAAAGACTCCTATAACTTAGACAAGGTTACTTGGCCAACAACATGAATTGGTTACTTACTCAGGAGTTGAAGAATCCTTTAGCGTCCCAGTGCCAAGCTGTCCAAAACCACCAGCTCCCCATGAAAATACCTTCCCTTGGCTGCTGATGGCCAACGAATGCTCCTTTCCACAGCTTACATAGATGATAGTCTGGGCTTCCAAGGCTTGGATTGGTTCTTTCCAGGAGGGGAAAAAAAGACATTCATTTGCATGGTTATTGAACCAATAATGATGACTTCTTGTAAAGACTGTATGGTTGGATGGAAAGTGGAAAATGAGTGTGAAGAAATTAGAAAAATGTTGCAACAAATTGAGAAAAATGAATGTAAAAAAAATCAATATTGATTGTAAGAAGGAAGTGGAGGGATTGTGGGAAACAAGAGTTGTATTGTTTTTACAGAACTGTAAGAAGACATGTTGGCCTGGGAACAAAATACATTGTATAGGTTTCTAATCTCATCACCTAGGCTTAACCTTAAGAATTGTAAGTAGGAGCTACGATGAAGAGGCCTTTGCTATGCTAGAAACCGGCCATAACCAGAATTCACTGATATGATCGTTACTCTAGAGACAACCCCTAGGCACTAGGACCATAAAAGGAAATCGTAGATAAGTGCAGGGGGAGTCCTGAACAGAAAAGGTGATCACATGCTTCAATGTCGGTGGAGAAAAAAGAGAAGGGAGGGTGGAGATGCTGAGTTTTATGCCTTCTCTGGCCTTTGATCTTGTATTCTGATTGGTTGTCAGACTCCCAGGGGGCCATGCAGGGGCAACTCTCTAGGCTGCATTTTGAATCCAGGTTTGGTTGAGTTCTCAGATGCCATGGGGTGAGTTGGGTAAAGGGCCAATATTACCATGCCTTAATCCCATCCCCCCTGGAGCTGAAGGGGAGAACTCTTTATTATGTAAAGGGACTGGCTTGGACATCTTGACAAAGTGGGTGGGGGCAGGAAGCTGCAGGGAGCTACTCTGTC